GATCAGAGATTCCTGATGAAGAGCGGATACTAAATCAGGCCGTCCTTCTAGCGCCAAACTGTTTGAAAGAACAACATGCATGAAGAGTGGTGGAAATGAAGATTGAAAGCATGAAATGTTGGATTAAAAAAAAATGTTTTCAAACAAAGCTTGGAAAAAGCATTATACCTACTCCTTTGCTTTGGGTTGATGAAGACAAGACTCAAAATGATGAGATCTCCACACTTTAACACTACCTTGAGTGAGTTAGAGAATGGTCGTGGCTTAGACAGAGAGATTTTAGTTTGCTTTGAGTGAACAAAGTGAATAATAAACTAAAATGCAACCATTTGCATTTATATATACTTGGGCAATTTTTGCAATTAGTTGTTTTTCATTTGCATGCCCCAATAAAATCTTATTTCAAAAGGAGCCCACGAATTTATTATTTTACCCTTTGAATAATCAAAATTATTCAAGGGCCCATGTAAACTAAACTAGTTTACAGTAACAACCCATAAATTTACCCTTTTACCCTTTAACTATTAAAATGTTATTTTCGTTCATCTCATTAATCTTAACGCTTTAAGATATAATAATTAAATATAATTAATTATTGCTTAACCATTTTAACCCTTAAAATGTCACAAACAATTTTCTATGTAACTATTACCATAAAAATCTCGTCATCACCCTCGGAAGGTGCTAGCCCTCTTCAGATAATCATTTTTCTCTCTCATCCTTGTCTAACTTCTCAAGGCTATTGGTGTGACCATGTAGGTCCACCGTGGATTAGCCGTGAGCCGGTTTTGGATGAATTCGGAAACCTGTCCGGAGGCTCAAAGACTATGGTAAACATCTAGCAATGTGCCATAGTCCCTAAACCACGATGAAGAAATACTTCATTGAACCCATTTTAGATCATATGTACCATGCAGGTAAAGTCCCTCCATTGATATATCCTGATCGAGCACGGATTCATGGAACGTCAAAATCCTAAACTCAATCTTCTATCGAATCGTCGATCAATATGTCCGGAACTCATCATCACAAACTTGCTTTTGTATGACTAATAATAGACTCTGGCCAGAGATTCTAATTTCTGACATTTATCGACGTTCGACCAGGAACTCGAATCCGGATGGAGTCAGCAGTACTCCTAATCCTATATTTATGAGTCAATGGATCACTTCTTGACCATCGTTCGTTTTCGCATATGAACAACGCATGACCAAATAGGCTTTATCATACGTAACATGACTAGTGTCGTACTTATACACCATATGAACCATACGCATCCGTATCGGATCGAACCACAATGTCTCAGGTCAAAGGACTACATCATGCACTGATATAACCAAACGATAAATCATTGACTACATGCTTTTCCAAGTGATTTGTCGTTATTCGATCACGTTCGAAAAACATTTCACCAACCGCTAATCCATACCAATGCCCCAGTGACATGACTATCATCGTCATCCATACTTATATCAACTCATGATATCTTTCGAAAGCATCCAATATGCCTACTATGCAATATAGTTGCCCAAATTATATTGCTTCCGTAGGGAACCCTTTTCGATAATTCATTTACCGATTAAATGAATCATCTGGACAATTCATATACGTACTTTATTTTAAATGCATGGCTAAATAAATTAAGCAATTTATATATATGAATTGAAGAACTCTTTCTTCTATTATTTATTATATATAGATACAAGACAAAATGCTCTGAAACCGACAACATGAATGGTTTCTAGGGCATACACTAATATACACTAACACTGTTGATGCTTGATTTTGACACCAACTATTCACACGTGCAAAGTGCTAAGCGGACTTAAAAATTACATGTGAATTGGAAAATGAAACAAATAAAAGGGAGACTATTTTTAAAGTGGTTTGGATGCTCAAAGCAAATCCTACGTCCACTGTCTTTTTATTTATGAAAGAGTACAATTAGGTCGCATGTAGCGATCAAAGAGAACATAAATACAGAGAGGGAGAGAGAGAGTGTTTTTCTATCAGAATTAGAATCCCCAAAAATGAGAGGGGAGCACTCTATTTATAGTAAGAGGTTTCTAGGTAATGATTATAGGTCTGCCAGTGGACATGTGCCGTACAGTTCCTACCTTGCTTCCCATTGGTTGGTTGCACGGAGGATATCCTTAAATTGCGCAGGGCTTGGGCAAGTGGGTGACTCCCAGCGACTCACTCGCTAAGCATTTACCTGCCAAGCTGATGACAGCTTTACCCCTTTTGTCATTGGACGATGTGGCAGCGCCTAGATAACACAACGCCTTCCCGAATTCTGATTGGTCCTCGCTGACATAAGTCTGCGTCAACCTTGATTTTTTAAGCATAACAGTCTTATATGATTGACAAGAGAATCAAACACTTTTCAGACTCTTGATAGTATTTGATAATGTTCATTGTTAACGATTAAATGAAAATAAAATAAAGGTCAAACCTCGGACGCTTGACAATATCAATATCAGATTCATCAGAAAAATACCCTCATTCTCAAGCCACTCTTCCAGCACACCGACTTAATCTCTATAATCTAATCTATTTGAAATCATCTTTGACTGGCCGAATCGAAAGCAAATCGCAACTCAGTAGGGTACTCGTCGTAGATCTCGATTAGAAGCCCAAAACCCAAAACCTATTCAACTCTAAATCAAAACTGAGATATGGACAATTACCAAATCGAAAAAAAAAAAAAAAAACAGGTTTTATAATGTTTTGTGGTTTTTAATTTTTAATTTTTCTGTATTTGATTGTTACTGTTCTAGGGCAAGATTCATAGAGCAAGTCTGAAATAGTAATTTTGTAAAATCTTGGGTTTTATCCGATTTTAAAAATGCAAAAATGTATAAAATATTGTTTAAGAGAATATGATATTTTTTTATCAAATAAATGGGTTAAAACTTGTGCTAATGAAGTGATTTTTATCCTCCATGCTCCATTGCTAAATACATATCTCTTATATTTAAAAAATATATATTTCTTTAAACCACATTTAATACCAAAAATAGTCTCGTTTAATTAGGTTTAATTAGGGTTTTTGTTTACTCTCCTTTATCCCAATTTCAAACTTAATTACGGTTTTGTATACACAACTTTTCTCCAATTTCAAACTTGATCAAAGTTTCTGTAATTTCTTATTTAGGGATTTTAATTATACCGCTTTTTCTCAATTTTAAATTTGAAAGTTTTTTTATTTATTTATTTATTTATTTTTTTTGAAACTTCGGATTTAGATTCGTCTCATTATGCATGGAATTACTTTCTAGATAGTTTTAGTAATATATTTTCATCAAACAAAGAAATATTTAAAATAAAAACAAAAGGTTTCAATGATTTAAAAGACTTAGGATTATGGTTTATGTAAAAATTAATGGTTAAAAAGTAACACAAAAGTAGAAAATAGAGTATGAGTACTGTATTTATAAATTATTATATCATTTCTAATCATTTTCATTAAGGTTAAGTTAAAAAAAAAAATTAAGTGAGGGATACTCATCAATTTGATTGGGATTAGAAATTACTTTCATTAAAAGCCAAAATACCGTATTTGAATCTCTCAAATGGGTTTAATTCATAGAATCTATAAAATTAAGCTAACATGTTTGTTTATAACTTTTTTTGGGCTTATAAGCAGGGTTTATAAGGCAAAAAAATAAGTTAGGCGAACCAACTTTTTTTTTTTTTTTTGGTTTATAAAGACTTTACTTATTAACTACTTTAACCAAGTATATTACCACATTACTCTTATTTAATTCATTATATTTGTTCATTAGTTTATTTTGTATAAAGAATCTATAATGATTCATATAAATTTTTAATAAAATATTTGTCTATAAAGTATTTGTTTATTTAATTCTAAAATTAAATTAAATTGTAATATAATCGAAATATATTTCGATAATATTATAGTAAAAAAATGAGTTACTATAATTTATTATTTGATAAAATAATATAGTACTATTTTTAGTCATTTTAATAATAAAATGTATTTATAAGCTACATTTTACCAAACACATCAACTACTTATCAGTCACTTAATTATTTTAATCAAACACGTAACCGTTTAAATTTCAAATGCTTATGAGCTTAAATTATCTTATAAGTACTAACTGCTTATAAACTAATTTTCATAAGTTCGGCCAAACAGACTTTAAGTGCTTTGGCTTAAATAAACTCCCTTGTTACCCCATGCTACACCAAAATTTCTCTTGAATTAAGTTTTATTCGCTATTTTCTCTTTGATTAAATGTCAATCGCATTTCTCAATAGTACAACATAAATCCTACATTAATCATAAATAAAGAGGAAAAAAATTACTAAGATACATTAAATTCCTCAAGCTTTTGCCGCAACAGTTTATTCAGCATATCATATAAAAGATCTCAGTGCTCCTAGTTTTTAACCTTTTCAGAAAGTACTTTGACTCTATTGTCACCAAGTTTCTTAAATTCTGCATTGGTGAAATTGTACTAGCAAAAAGGATCTGTTATTATTATTATTATTATTATTATTATTTTAAATATATTTAGATGAAGTTGAATCAAGAACTTCATATGAGAGTCGAAGCCCTAAAAGGGGAATTGAAAAAAAAAATTGATAGGAGATGAAAACGGTTTTCCTTGGGAGATAATTCGCTCACCAAATTTTATCAATTTGCAATTTCTTCCACAATTAGCTAAAAGAATGAAATCTGCCTATATTAGGACAATACTAGGTGGCCGAGTACCTACAGCTACCACATTCAAGCAAATCATGGGCAACAGTCATACTAATTTTACAATTCATAAATCCTTCCACTGACAAACAGAGGCAATTCGTTCAAGTTCACTCCTAATTGCAAGAATTATTATTCTGAAAAGTCAAGACTGGAAATCCAAGTTCAAATACACATTGTTTCCATTTTCAAGTTTAATAGCAACTCTCTTCATCAGAATAAACCAAACCAAAATCAAACTTCGTATCATTCTGGCACAATATGGGAGTGTTTAGTCAGGGCAAATATCAGCGAACACTGCCAACCTCTTCCTAGCAGAAGGACAATATAGAACACTATCAATATATGCATCAATCTTTTCCCTCGACAGATTATCCGAACGGGAAGGCAACGATGCAACCTCAATGCCATCGTCAAGGGGCGACCAGTTCTCTTTGGTGGTGCTTGAGCTAGGATTCTGACTGCCTTCTCCAAGCTTCAAAGTAATGGGATTTATGGAGGTCTTGGTGGTGGTGGTCTTTTCAGGCACCATGGTAGCTGCAATCCGAGTCTTGATGACCGGATGAACGAAACGACACTTGGCGCCGTACACGCATGATCCTGTAATGTATGCCTTGCAAATCTGTGCCTACCCAAAAACAGAAAGAAACAAAATCATTCCACCATGGATTGGATAACATCAAGTATCAGAATTCAGAAATTTCATCACCGCTTTACCTCAGATTTATTCTTGATACTGGAGAAACGAGTTGGACGGAGCTCATATTTTCCATGAGCAAACTACCAATAATGAAACAATTCCATTGATAAATTACCAAAATGATTAAAATTATTTCATTGAGGATATTTTCAAATTTGTACATTACCTGACACTTAATACCAAAGCGACACTTCCCAAGATCTTCCCAAGACCTGCATAACTCCGTCTTGTAGAAATCAGCACTGTTACTTCCAGAAGATGGTGAATTTACCGTAATGCCATCCATCACCAACACATCATCTTCATCAAAAACTCCTGACAGAGGACTGTTACTGTTACTGTTACCGCAAAGAGGAGAGAATGGATCCACTGAAGAACGCGAACGTGAACCGGAGCTGCAACTGGAAGCTGAGTTGGAGCCTAAAAATTTCATCATCAATGGCGATACGCCACCGTTTTGACTGTTCAGTTTTACAATTTTTGAACTCTTATTGTTGTAAAGCGACTCCATCAGTTTATGCATTCAACTCCACTCTCCCGCCTAAATTTCAAAACTCATTCAACTTCACAAACCTCTCCAACCGTGAAAATTAATCAAAATAATTCAAACTTCGAAAATTAGGTATAATTAACCTAGAAAATAACAGACAACTCGGAATTCAACCAATACAAATTACGATTGAAATTTTTTATGATTAAAAATCGAAAAAAAAAAAAAATCTGTAGGATAAAACAGATTTCATTTCCGATGAATTAGAATGAAAGAGAATCCAATTCAACATACCAAAATTTACGATTGAAATCTGTTATAATTGAAATCACAAAAAAAAAAAAAAAAAAAAAAAATTCAACGAAATTTCGGATGAATTAATATCGAAATATGAAACATAAATTTTTGAATATGAAATACCTAAAAGTTGGTGAGAGCGTATGATCGACGATGTTTCTAACGATTTTGAAATGAAATTTTAGTTTTGCCAGTTAAGACATGGTGGCTCTGAATCTCGAGCGGCTTTTAATTGAAGACGGACAGAGTCGGAGAGCGCTTTAAGCTTTAAACTCTTTGAATTTATATACTGGCAATTAAGAGGGAGAGAGAGCACGCGCCAATTCCCAAAGGGCTGCGTTGTGTTCTTGTTGGCTATGCAATCCAATCAATCCAATGAAATAATTTACTTTGTTATTTAAATTCAAAATTCAATCATATTTTATTCAAGTCAAAATATTTAGTAATAATTTTTCTCAATAAAAGTTTATAAATTACCGAAAACACCCTCACTTACCCAAGCCACTATCATCCGCCAGTAGCCATCGTCGCCACCGCTATTGGGCACCAGCACCGTAATTACACACGACCGGTTATATCTGACTGGTCGTATGCCGATTTATCAATTTCTGATTGGATCTACGATCAAAGATCTAACCGTTGACGATAGATTTGACCGTCATGGCCAGATTTGTGACAGTCATTTGGTCGTCGTCAACGACCAAATATTTGGTCGTAGATCTGGTCGGAAAAGGTCAGATCACTATCAACACATGATCGGTCAAATCCAGTCGGTTGTGCATCATTCCAACGACTTCCAACCACCGTTCGACCGTGGTAGAGTCCGAATGCTGGCAATAGTTGGGTGGGTGGAGGTGTTTTTATTAATTTATAAATTTTTATTGTAAAGGTGTTTAATTAAATTAACAAATGTAAGGAGTTAAAAAAAATCTAAATATTTTCAGAAAATATTTTTCAATACACATTTTAATAATCTTATCTTATTCCATTAAATAGTATTATATTATAGAATGCTATTCTAAAAAGTAAAACAAACTCACATTTTCATTAATTTCTTTCGGGAAATTTCTTTAAACCCCACAGATTTCAGGTAAGTTTCGAAAATGAGACCTTAGCCCCCATTCCGTCAGTGTATGTTAATGAAGATCTGCTAAACTTCAAAAAGACAATATTACCCTTCTACCGAAAATAAATGATACAAATATTACCCCCCATTTTTCAAGCTTAATTAAATTTCCTCAAAACTTAATCAAATTTTTTTTCACCTCACAAACTTTTCAAATTTATTGTTTAACCCAACAATTTAAAAATCCAATTAGATGTTACGTTAAATATTGAACGTTATTGTGTATTTTTTCTAATTTGTTTTTATTTTTAATTTTTTTCTCTTAAGTTTATCAAATCTTGGTAGGCACGTCATTCAACTAAAATGACTGGGCCTTTGGAGCCCATTAAATACCCACCAACTTCGTCCCTTCAAAAATCTAACCCTAAAGCCCTTAACCGTCCTGTCTCTCTATCATTTTAAACCCTTCCGCCTTTGCTCACAAATTCCATAAACCCTAAACCTCTCAATCTCTAAGGTAACTCAACTCTACCCTTTTTGTCTTCACATAATGTTTGTACATGTGTATATAAGTTTTCTCATTGTTTGATCTTCTCGATCATGTTCATTTCTGTTTGGTAGCTTAGAAAATTTTCAGTGAGTGAAGACGTTAACAATTTGGGTATAAATTTTGCTTTAACTTGATTTTAATTTTGCAGTGGATTTTTTTTTTTTTGTCCTTTTGATCAATTAGTAGGATCTATACACTCTTTCTTTTCCTCCAAGTTTTTTCAGCAACCGAATGAGAGTCTTATTTTCTAATTTTCTGGCGGTTAATCCACTGGAAATGAAGTTACGGATGTTTAGTTGAATTGACTGTTTGGTGTGTGATTAGGGATTAGTTGATTTATACTATACAAGTTTTAGGTCTTGATAACTGTTGGCATTTTTCTAGTTATTTTTTGAATAATTCTTATTTTTTATATAAAATGTCGGAAATTGAATATCTGTCTGTAAGTATTTCTTTGGAGTAAATTTGAGTGTGTCTACATATGTATGAATAGTTGAAACATTTTGACAGACTCCTTAAATATTTTTTAAGTACTTGTTAGTTTTGAACCTAAATGTTAAAAGTTAATTTTTTTGAAATCTGTTTGGTGATATAGAAGTGGCAATTTCTAATATACTTAAATGTATGTCAGTTGTGGATCCTTGTTGAGTGGCTACAATTTGCAACTCTACTTGCTCATTTCGCTTTGTGTAGGGTTCCTGCTTAATGGTCTTTTGAAATTCCTTTAGTTCCTAGACTTACATAGATTCTTTGCTTGTGGCATATTGTTTATGTATGTTGTTTTTTTTTTTTTTTTTTTGTCTTTTTAAGCTAGGAGTTTCTTTAAGGTGCATTTTTTCCGATGGCATTTTTCCTCTATCATAAGTCTTGTCTTCAATTCATAAACATGCATGCTGATCCATGATGATCCTTTTCTGACTTTCTTCAGCTCCCTATTTTTAAGTTGTCTCTCCACTCTCCTACATTTGGCTTGGATTGTATATACATATGATATGCTTGGGCATTATTTGCTTGATATTTGATAATGGAGACATGGTTGATTACTTTTACTTTACAGTTTGAGTTCTTTTGCAATATATATTACCATGTACAAATTTAACATTCTTTGCTTTAACCTTTAGGAAGATGAATTTCAACAATGTCAAAGTCCCCAAGGTCCCAGGTGGTGGTGCAATATCTGCCTTAATTAAGGTGGGAGTTATTGGTGGGCTTGGCTTGTATGCTGCTGCAAACAGTCTCTACAATGTTGAGGGAGGGCATCGAGCCATTATGTTCAACCGCTTAGTTGGTGTCAAAGACAAGGTCAGCAATACCTACTAATTTGTTATACTTTTTCTTTATTTAGAGCACATCCATGTTTTCTTTTGTTTTATCATTGTATAGTGTTTAGAAATTTTTGCATACCTGATCTCAGCCCCCTTAAGAATGAACAAATTATTTTAACCAAATTCTTTCCCTGTAATTTCTGCATTGTAAAATATGCAATTATAGTGTACTTGTTGTGCAAGCAGGTTTATCCTGAGGGGACACATTTTATGATTCCATGGTTTGAGAGGCCTGTCATATATGATGTCCGTGCACGACCTCATCTAGTGGAGAGTACTTCTGGTAGCCGTGATCTTCAGATGGTAAATGCTTTACTTCTTGGAAGTTGCTTCATTCTGTTCTTTGGCTGATAAGATATTCTCAGTTGATAAGATATGTGTAGAAGATGTACGTGAAGCTGTCCTGCACATAATAATGAAACTCATCTAAAATTGTTGTTCTTTTATTCTATTCTTGATAATACCCTCGTGGAACATGCTTGTATGTTATAAGTACTGTGAAGTTTTCTATCATAAATATTTTTATTCTAAACAATTTTGACAATGACAAAATGATCATGGAACGCTATTGTAAGAATGATTAAATGGAGTAGGGATTGCTTAGACTTTACTCATATCACTCTATTTTGGGATATTACTTATTGGAGGCCTCTTGTTTGGAGGTAGCTTTCTTATTCCTCTGCCCCTTCTAATGCACTTAAAAGAGTTACATTAAAGCTTTTATCCTGAAGCATTTTATACTTAGTTCTACAGTAATCATTTCATCTTTTGGATTTGCTGCTAGCAGCTAGTATGTTTTGGTGGTATTATTTGCCTTGTAAGTACTAAAAATCTTCTTGATATATGGTAACCCTCCCTATTAGTTAGAACTTGGCATTAAGCCCTAATGTAATTAGGTCTTTAAATACTGCACAATACCAAAATTCTATTTCTTCCTCCCTCTTGCAATTATATATATGAGCTGTGCTGCACCTATTGGTAGATTTATAATTGGACCAGTTATTGCCTATGGATAGATTTTTTCTTGACATGGGCTGCAATAATTGATCATGATCAATATTTATTTCTGTGTTTGGGTGATGATTGTTATTTCTGCTATAGGGAGTGGGATTCCTTCTTATTAGGTCATCTTATTGTTATAGCTTTGCTATTTCTCTGTGTTACTTTTATCATTTATTTAAATTTTTACCTAAATAATGCTGTGCAGGTGAAGATTGGGCTTCGAGTACTCACCCGTCCTGTGGCAGACCAGTTGCCTACAGTTTATCGAACTCTTGGTGAGAATTATAATGAGAGGGTCCTTCCATCCATTATTCATGAAACTTTGAAAGCTGTGGTTGCACAGTACAATGCCAGCCAGCTCATCACTCAGCGAGAGGTGAGCAGCCAAGCCTATTCTTTTATACTTTTTGTTGGCAGTACATGTTCAGGTTTTCTGTGTGTTCAATAAATGATTGAATATAATATCTTTTTTAGGCTGTTAGTAGGGAAATTCGGAAGATTTTGACAGAGAGGGCCGCAAATTTTAATATTGCACTGGATGATGTCTCCATTACCAGCCTTACTTTTGGGAAGGAATTTACTGCTGCAATTGAGGCTAAACAGGTGGCTGCACAGGAAGCTGAGAGAGCTAAATTTATTGTGGAAAAAGCTGAGCAGGACAAGAGGAGTGCTATCATAAGAGCGCAGGTGAGACAGTGGAACTCCCAATTTCAAATTTGTTCACCATTTTAGATGTTAGGGCAATTACTAGTAGTATTCACCCCTGAAACAGTTTTTTAGAAGATTAAATAGACCTAGATGATAGTTTTCAATTTTTTTTTTTTTAATAGTGAACTAGAAAATATTCAACAGGTTTGTTCTTGTCTATTTTTGCTTCATTTTTTAATTTTTTCCATAAGTATTTGTTTAAACTTTTTTTGTCATAACTTATAATTTTTTAAGAAATTTTTTTTTTCTTGGTTGCATCTATGATCGATAAACCTTTTTCATTGGTTGCCAGGGAGAAGCCACTAGTGCTCAACTCATTGGTCAAGCCATTGCAAGTAATCCAGCATTTATCACATTAAGAAAGATTGAAGCTGCAAGAGAAATTGCTCATACGATATCGAATTCAAACAACAAGGTCTTCTTGAATTCAGATGATCTTTTGCTGAACCTTCAGGACATGAAGTTGGAGAGTGCAAAGAAATAGGCGTTACCAGTACTTACTCTTTAGCCTTTAGTTTTGCTTTTTCATAATTGTTCAATTGTCGGAATATACTATCCTCAATAACTGAGCAGTGCAAAAGGTAAAAATGGTTATTTGTTATTTAAAGGATGGTTTTGCATCAGAGTTTATTTGGCTCAAGAACAACCGCTAATGGAGAAAAGTTGTTTGAACTGTTACATTGAGAAGTAAAAGATGTTGGATATGTAATTGCACAACATATTTTGTCATTCTGTTTGTTGCCTTGATAGTTTTGCAGGAACTTGGTTGGTTGTTGATTAGTTTGGGTGAACACTGGAGCAAAAACCATTCAAATTTTTAGTCTGTAAATGTGTATGTGCTCTCGTAATCTCTGAATAGAGAAATGTTATTTAAAGTTTAAACAACCGATCAACGCATTTATTCTTAGACAATTGATTTCTATTTTTTATGTTTTGAAATAAATAAATGTTAAAAATCAATTGGCATTCCGTGTGAAAACATAGGTTGGTAGCCAAGTTTCAAACTAAGCGGCATTTGATTGACCATCAAAGTTTCTTATAAAAGCTTCATTTGGCTTCTAGAAGTAGAACTAGAAGCAAGGATTTCGAGGATTCAAATTCATTTGAATAATGTAGTTATCAAAGTACTATTCGGGTCCATCTCAATGTCGAAAATTTTACTTTATACACTAACCACGTAGTTGCTTTGCGGAAAGCAAAGCAAAATTCTTGGTGTTTGAATGAAATAGTCGTATTTTATACCAACATAACTCTTAACAATTGAAATATTCATAGACTTTTTCAGCAACTGCAAGCTGGCTCCACCCTAAACCAAACTATCACTTCAATGGTAACTTGCAAGTCACAACCAAAGCATATATGACTGCCTGAATTATAATATTTGACTCACGAATTCAACAGATTTTGCCTACTTGTTTCCATGGTAAATTATTGTGAGATATTGTTGAAACCTGTATGAAGTTTCTGAAGGCTCAGTTTTTCATTCCACGTCTCAAATATTGTCGGTACCTTGTGTATATACTAATATTAGTAGCTTTCTTTGACTTTATGGTTTTATCGCCTTCCCCAACATTATTTTTTACCTATTTATTTACTACATAATATTATATCCCTTTAAACTTTGTTTATCTCAACCAAAAACTTTAAAAGACGTTTTATTTACTTCCCATGCATGGTAGTTATTAATATTTTCTCAATTCTCTTATTAAATCATTCATGATCAAATTTAAATAAATATGTTTGTATTAAATAAACAATTTAAAATCTGATATCCAGAAATAATTTGTAAAATATGAATATGAATTTGAAATTTCAATTTTTTATTTATTTATTAGGATGTTCGAGATAATTTACGTAGATAAGAGTTCTAATAACCATCTTTATTAGTGTATGTAAAGATGAAACTCGAGAACTCATGAATGCGCGGTGGAATGAAACTGGGCACAAAAAAAAAATATAGAGAAAAGGGACCAGGCATCTTGACATTAGTGAGTTATGGATTTTAACAATTGATGGTGGATATGACGTATGAAAAATGAATTATATAAAGAATTGAGGTCATCAGCTTGGACTTGTTCATCTTCTTTCTTACACTTACATTACCTATTCTCTATATTTTCAAACTATTCATTTATCAGTCCCATAGGTCATGTGTATTGACGTGTTGCCCACTTTTTTTATTTAGATCCACTGAATCATTCTACCAAGCTGATCAAGTTATTTTTAATCATGTTCTCTAACTAATAATTTATATCAATTATGGTATAAAAATCATGTTAAACCTTTAAAAAGAATAATTAATTTTAATTTATAGACTTGTAAATGGTGTTAGTTAAATGTATTTATTGAAACGGTGGACCGGGAAAGAAAAACGAGGTGGACTAGGGTTAGGGTTAGGGTTGGGCAACATATGACGCCATAACCTTGCCACCAGCTGACGTGGTGGATAGCGACATGTTCGTTCTCAACTTGAAGGAATTAATTATTGGTGCCACGTGGAGGTTGACGTTATCTACACACCCTTGAATATGATGATGCATTGCACCGATTTGAACAGCGGGTTTGCTGAGGAGAGGACCGTCCCAGAGCGGCATTTTTTTGTCTTCCATTGTTGGGGAAGAGTTGGGCCAAAAAGGATGTGAGATTGAAGTTAGCATAATGTTAATTAAGTAATGGGAAAAGTCATATCATATGGTGGAATAGTTATAGATAATATCATTTTAACTACTAACCTTACCCAACACATGGTTGTTGTTATCGCTATTAATTTTTTTTTTTTCTGATAAATGTCACAACACCTTAATGGGGTAAACAACTTAGAAAGTTCCCACCGGTTATAAAAATATTAATCGGTGAAATTGACTCCTTACGTTAAGGATTATAATGGGGTTAACTTAATTTAAAAATGTTTAATGTGATATTGTTGTTGATTTCTTACAAGTGAGCTTGTTGCATAATCACACACGTGGAGACTCCAATAGGAATGACACCACTTAAACGTCACCCCTAACCAATCCAAACGCGTAAACTAAACGCCTAACTGCCGTTGACGCCTGACCCTTTCAAATTTCAAGTCACCTTCCTTCTCACCCCCTTTTATATTTCCCCACTTCCACAACCATAACATTCACACAAACACAAACACAAACCTCTTTCTTTGTGTTTCTCTCTCTCTTTCCAAATTGCCACCATGCAACAGGCCATTCCTTTCAAGTCATGGCAGCCGCTTTACAACACTACCAACACAACCTTAAACTTATCGTCTTCTCTTCTTACCCACCAAAACGATCCCGCCGCACTGGCTACAAAACTCATCAAAGGATCGAACAATTATCACATGGGCAAGATGGTTTCGGAAAATGCTGTAATTGTGTTCGCTAGACGCGGCTGCTGCATGAGCCATGTTGTGAAGCGTTTGCTTTTGGGTCTCGGTGTTAATCCTGCTGTTTATGAAGTTGATGAAGAAGATGATGTTGGTGTTTTAGCTGAACTGGGTTTGATCAATAAAGGCAATGGAATTGATCAAAAGGTTCAGTTTCCGGCTGTGTTTATTGGAGGGAAATTGTTTGGGGGATTGGATAGGATCATGGCTACTCATATTAGTGGAGAATTAATTCCTGTGCTCAAAGAAGCTAAGGCCTTGTGGCTCTAACTCTTATTAGAGGCTTCTTTTTTTACCCCCTTCAATTTCTTTTTGTAGGTTATGCTAATCCAGTTCTAGATATGTTACATAAAATGTTTATTATTCTTTTGAGTTCAGAAATGGGAATATAATTTTTTTGTTTTCCTTTTTTGTTGATCAGATTGAACTCTGATCAATTTTTATTAACAGAAAAATAAGTTTTACATATATGTATGTGCTACGCATGTTAGTTAATCAAATTAACTTTGTTTTAATTTTCATATTCTAACAATGAAAGATAGAGGAGGAAGTTTTTTTTCTTCTTCTTATTCTTGGACTTTTTGTCTATTTTGACTCTCGCAATGCGTATATCTGTTTCCAGTTAAATTCCGATAAATTTTTTGTTCACTTGTGTATAAAAAAGAAAAAGAAAATGCAGTTTGCAATTGCATCACATGGAGGTCTCTGTCCTGTATGACAACCCACCTAACCTATTTGATAAAGTTAGCACGTCACATGCTCCTCAATTTCTTATTAATTTCAGTATTATTGGGCAAAACAAAAATTTTAAGGACCCTTTTCCAATTCTTATATATGTCTATATTTGAGATAGGGCAGATGATTTTGAGTGTTAAATTTTGTCACCATTAAAATTTAAAATCACTGCTGTATAGCCAGCTGGCTGTAGCTAATCTTTGTAATAGTCTTCGCAGAAACTGAAGGGCCAAATATAAACTTTGTCTGTATTCAATCATGTATATATTTCCATTATCAAGTCAGATTTTGCCACTATGAAGCATATATATATGAATGAGCCCATTGGAAGATCCAATCAACGACACAAGGATTCAGAATTTTTCTAAAAGTGAAAGCTGTGAATGTGAATTAATAGTGTGTTGTCGGTTCATGAACCTATAAAATATATCATGGATGACGAAACCAATGTGAAGATTTAGAAAGATGTGGCAGCCAGAAATTTCATTCCAATACACCAAAGAAATTAAAACACGTTACATCTATAGCAAGGCGACGTCAGCACGTCATTCTCTGCTATTATCATGCCCATTAAAACAAGAACGAAAATTTTGCACAAAAAGTCATTTGTATCTTTTACTTTTGCAAATTTTAAGAAGGCTATAAAGTGACGCGCCTGAGCGCCGAGGGAGAGGTAGGCATGGTGCTTCACTCCAAAAATCCCACATCGAGCTTGGTTCGGAACCCCTGTTACAAGTGGTATCAAACCAACGTATCCTCAACCCGACGCCCAAAAGAGAGGTAGCCAGTATGCTCCACTCCAAAAATCCTACATTAGACAGGAACGGGGTTCTTGAAAATGTGAGATCCTTCACATTCTCTTCCATTCAATCTTACGACGATAGACACGCCTTTTGGGTTAAGGCTCAGCCCGTGACACTGTTCAAAAGGTAACAGAGGCGTGCAAAAGTTTCCTCAGGTCGGACAGAGATTGGCCCTCGAGTGCAAAGGCATAAGGGAGCTTGATTTGCAAGACTCACCCGTCAAGCAGGGACGAAAGTCAGCCTTAGTGATTCAACGCTCAAGAAGGACTCCAAAAGATGCTGGTCGTAAATGAGAAGATTGGTTACGGAGAAAAAAGAAGATGGATTCATATTCACATACATGAGAATTATATAAGAACAAAAATAATCTTGAATTACTTTTTGAAAAAATGGAAATAGATTTCTTTGAATTACTAAGACTATTCCAATTCAAATTAAAATACTCGTGCAGAAAGAACCTTAATAAATGTAAAGAAGAGGCATCTTTTACCCAGTATCGGAGAATTTGAACCAAGATTTCTGAGCGAATGGGGTGGGGTATTAGTACATCTAAGACATAATTTAAATGTGAGAATTTGTCCTCGAAAAAAGGAAATATTGAATGAATTGATTGGAAATTATGAGATTTTGCTATTAATATCACTTTTTAAATAGAGTAAACGACATGTTCCCACATAAGGTTTCGCGAATCTACAAGTTCTCACCATTGGTTTCATAAATTCCAGATTTTCATTCTTAAATCAGCACTTTTAGTGAGTTTTGGGTTCTGATACAGTATAGTGAATGCTATTACCAAACTACGCTTGACTAATAAATTAATAAATTACTTTTAACCCCCACATTAGTAGAATTAGAAAATAACCCATATTATTTTCAAATTTATTTTAATAACACCCTTGGCATAGTTTAAAGCAGATTCCAACCAGTATTCTCACCGGAAACAACTGGAATCACCACCCTTAGCCCATCCTCACAAGCCTCAAGCCAACTGTCCATTTGACCGGATTTTGGCCATTCCTGCAACCATTTCCATGCCATGCGCGACTTCCTTTGCAAGCCGATGTGGCCATTTTTTGGAGCCTGCAACCTTCCCCAACACCACCCACAACACCGTTGTCCATCCACCACCAAAACCTCACACTGTTCCCCTGCGAACTCACCCACCGTTCGTTGGCCACTGCCAGTTTTCTTTCGCATAACAATTGATTGTCCCAAGCCGAATTTCATTTGATTTCGGCAGCCTTAAACCCTCCCACCACCACCCCTTGACTCACCGGCATCCCCTCTCCAGAACTCTCATCATCCTCGATCACGGTATCTCGCCGTTCGTCGGCTACACAACGACAATTTATTTCATCTGATTTTTTTTTTTCTGGGTTTTTTCTTTTGATTTGTTGATTGATTGTTTGGTTCTATGAGGAAGTCTTATTGTTTGGTTGAGGGTGATGAATTTTGTTGATTTGGGTGAGAAATCCGATAGGGATCCACAAAATACAACTGGCAACAGCGACGACAATGGTGGTGAGTTGAGAGAGAGTGCTTATGAGAGAAATTTGAGATGTGGAGGATTATTTTGAAATTTTTATTTATATTTCAAATTTAATTCAACACAAATGACCACTTTACTCTATCACCGGTATATTAAAAAAAAAATTGTTAATTTAAGGGCGGGAATCTGAAATTTATGAAACTAGGGGTGGGAACTTGTAGATTCACTAAAACCTTGGGCGGGAACATGGTTTACTCTTTTAAATATTAATGCCTGTTTCAATGGAGAGCTGTGAGCTTGTGACAGTAATTCTTATCTTATATCAAATATTAACATTTCGAAGAAAGAAGATCCAGTCCAACTAACTTTAATGCAGAGGTGTGATATTTACGCATTAGCGTATATGTATAATGCTTCACTTTGCGATTAAATTGTTGCTGTATTTGTGTTGGAGCAATTCAGCTTCATAAAATTCTTATTTATTGGTTCTTCACTTGATTAAATTTGTTGTGCCTAAAAAGTCACATTGATGTCAGCTTAATAAGTGCCTAAAAGACAAAGTATACTATCTATCAAGCCCATACCGCCTCAAATATATTTTATATTAACTCTATCTCATTTTCAGATAAGATAAGAATATATGAAAGCTCTTAATGTGTCAAGGCAACTTGCAAAAACACTCATTACATTAACCTCAAAGGTGTATAAATGGGCACCTCTCTTCGTAAAAAAGGAGGCTGGACATATGAGAGTTAGGCACATGAGAGCTTATTTTTCTCTATAAACAAAGTATTTCTCCATCTTTGTATGTCTTACAGGCAATATCATGGAAATAGTCAGGGAATAATAAAATAGCAATGGATGTATGATTCGCTTTAAGCATCCGAACTACTATAAAAATCCCTCTTATCTATCTATTATTTATATTTCTGTATGCATATATAATCTCAGCACCATATTCACATCTCATGAATCCATCACGTATAATTTTTAAGACTCTCTTAGCACTTTGCACGTGCGAGTCATTAGCGTTAAAATCAAGCATCAATAGTTTGGTGGCCCATGCAAGTCTCGAACCTGCGTCCAAGCTCCCTGATTGTGTGGCCAAATCACAGATTGCACGCATCAAAGCTTCCCGATCGTGTGGCCAAATCGTAGATCGCATGCATCAGAGATCTGAAATCATGCGACCAGATCTTAAATTGCATGCATTAGAGCTCTCAGATTTTCAACTTAAGATCACTGATCTTTAGCTTCAAATTCCATGGCCATATCACAGATCACACACATCAGAGCTCTCAGATAGCGTGGTCAGATTACAGATTGCATGCATTAGAGCTCTTAGATGGCATGGTTAGATCGCAGATCGCACACATCAGAGCTCTCAGATCACGTGGCTAGATCGCACATATCAGACCTCTCAGATGGTGAGGTCAGATAGCACGCATCAGAGCTCTCAGATCGCAGATCCCACGCATTAGAGCTCTCAGATAACATGGCAAAATCGCAGATTGCACGCAATAGAGCTCTCAGATCGCACACATCAGAGCTATCAGATGGCGTGATCAGATCACACGCATCAGAGCTCTCNAATAGAAATAACATATTAGAATCTTTTATACTGATCTAAAGTCTTCTATATATATAACTTTAAAAAATACATAAATCATGAAAATAACTAGAAGATGGAAATAAAAATTAATCTTGGGTATGGTTATAGAAGAGCTAGATCAAATTAAACACTAGAAAGCCTCTCAATATGATAGAGTTTTGTAATTAAGAAACCGTAGTGGCTCTTCTATAATATAATACAAAGTTTTTACCACTTCTCTGTACATTCCTTTTCGAGGGAGGTTAGACTCATACTTACAAATAAAATGGATATGAGGAGTCATAATACTTAGATTAATAGTACGTTTGTTTTAGTATTTTGGATAGTATTTTTGAAAAAGTAAGAGTTGGGTGAGAATAACGAGGTAGAATTTAAAAATTAACAAAAACATCTCTTATATTTGTTAATTTACTAAATAACCCTGTAATAAAAATATTAAAAATTATAAAAACACCCCCATCCACCCATTAAATACTGGTAGCGAGCCACCACCGCCGAGGGTGGTCGGAGTCGTCGTATCAGACCGGCTGGATATGGTCAATTGTGACTCGAGATGACCTTTTCCAACTAGATCTACCATGGATCTGGCCAGAAAATACTAGATCTACGGCTAGATATGGCCATTGACGGCCAGATCTTGCGGCGACGTTTCTCTATCCTATTCTTATTCCAAATCAAAATGCATATTTGTTTCCCTATTCTCAAAATCTTATCCTAAATTATTTAAGGTTCATTTGGTTTATTATTTCATACACTATTCCCGATCCTATTCCCAAAATAACTATTTGTTTAATTATTTAGGAAATACTATTATATTTTTTAATTACTTTTAGACCCCTTAAGTTTATTAATTTCATAAACACCCCTAGAAAAAAGTTTAAAAATCAACAAAAACACCCCCACCCATCTATGGTTGCCAGATTCTAGCGACCACTGTCGGTGGTAGCCAGAATCTATCACAACGGCCTACAAATGACTAGAACTGGTCGGTATTTCGCCGATCTGGCCTTTTCCTGTGGATCTGGCCGTCGTTGACAGTCAACATTGGCCGTCGCTGACGGCCAGATCTGTAGTGGATCTAGTCGTAACACCAGATTCCGACCAAATTCTGGCGAATGTGGTGGAATCTGGCACTGTGGGTGGGTGGGAGTGTTTTTGTCATTTTACAAAATTTTTATATATTGGGGTGTTTAGTTAAATTAGCAAACCTAGGGGGTTTTTTTGTTAGTTTTTAAATTTTACCTCGTAATAATCACCTTATTCAACTATCCAATATTATTTCCAAAATCCTATCCAAAATAACAAACCAAACGGATCCTTAACTATTTTTAATTTTCAAATCCTACCTCGTAATAACCACCCAACTCTATCTAACAATAATATTTCAAAAATACTACTTTAAATAACTAAACAAAAGAACCCCTAGCAGTCCATGCATATAAAGATTTGATGTATGAATCACCCCCTCTATTGTTATTACATAGATTTAAATTATTCATTAGAGACAAATACCAAACACCTAAAATGAGAGTTAAAGAAAACTCTATTAACCATTAAATATGCAACTTGATTATTTGGAATTTTTTAACCTTGTTGATCATGAGATGTTGTCTATATTCATGAAACAAGGAAATTTGGCTACGTCCATTTACAAATTGTTTTATGCGGTCAGGCGCTGCGCATGGCCTCGTTTGCTCCGCCAAAAAAGCCGGGACGTGGCCACCCTTGCGCTGTCGGCAAGGCCGCCACCATTTGTTTATGTGCTTATTTCTTATTTAGATTAAAGTTTTTAAAGTGAAGTGAAAGTGGTAAAAGAAAAAAGAAAAAATAATGAAAGACAATTATATTCAAAGATATAATTTTACCATGTGTTTTTCTAATAATTTTTACTTTATGATATAAATTTAACTTTGAATTAAGTTACTGTAACAAAAATTTTTATCCCAAATTTATAATACAAACCATCATCTATTGATTCAAAACAATCCAATAGTTTGGAAGTTCCAGACTTATAACTAACTCTAAGCCCTCATTTTCAATCATTGAATTATCTTGAATCAATGGATAAAATTTTGTATCAAAAACTTGTATTAAAATAGTCTAACCCTTTAATTTTTAGAAATTAATAAAAAGATTTAGATAAAATTTTAATAAAAGTTCAAATAACACTACTCTAGATATTCGATTAAGAATAAATACAAACAAATATAGACCTGCAAACTTTGGATTAAGCATTAATAAAAAAAAAAAGAATTAACATACAATTTAATTAAATAATCAATGTATTTCTAGATACACTAAAATTAATTATTTTTAATATCTCAATATTTTCACAAAAAAACATAAAATGGATTAATATAAGAACACACCCGACTAATAATGAAATTTTATATCCTAAGTCTCCAATGTATCTTGTAACTTTAATCAGGATCATAAGTTCTTCTATTTTTATTTAATTGGGCATTTCCTCTTTTTGAAATTAAAAAAAAAAAAAAAAAGAATTAGTTTAATTAGTATTGTTCATGAAATTCCCTAACATCAAACTGTAAACTTATAAAATTACAAAATTAGATAATTAGGTATTATTATGGTGAAATTTACATGGTTTAGCATAGTAGGTTTATTGATCATAACATTAAGATAAGTGAAAGATTGATTCAAACAACTCAGAAGACAAACTCTATATTGTTAATAAATATTTGAATAATACTTGATGTACAAATTTTTTCATACAAACTAATGTGTCAAATAGTAAATGGATGAATGCATGTAAAAAGCCAACTCATTAAATACTTAATCAATGTAAATAAACAATAATGCTAAATGTACAAAGAAATCTTGCAAAGATTTGTATACAAACTAATGTTGGAGAAAATGAATAGAATGAGTTAATACAAAAAATCAAACTCAGCATATTTATTCTTCCATTCGTTTTCTATCACATCAGTTTGTATAAAAAAAATTGTAAGATTTATTTGTACGTCTAGTATTTCTCATAAACAAATGACATGTTATGCTATTTATACAAACTCTTATACAAAGAGAGTTTGTACAAACTAATGTGACATGTCACAAAACATGTCATATGACATTAGGATCCACGTAACTTAATGTCACAAAACATGTCATATGACATTAAGATCCACGTAACTTAATGTCACATTAATGTTATGTGGGTCCTCATGTCACGTGGCACTAGGCCTACAATCGAACCGAATACGAACGAACAGGCTCGTTCGAAAATCGTTCAATAAGCATGTTCGATTGTTCGTGTTCGTGTTCGTGTTCGTGTTCGTGTTCGTGTTCGTGTTCGTGTTCGAACTCGAACGAACAAAGGATATGTGTTCATGTTCGTTCGATTAACAAAAAGCTCGTTCGTGTTCGTTCGTAACTCATTCGTGTTTATGTTCGTTCGACTAACTCGTAAATACCTGTTCGACTAACTCGTTCGATAATTTGTAAATACTTGTTCGAATAACTCGTTCGATAACTTGTAAATATTTGTTCGAATAACTCGTTCGAATACCTGTTTGAATAAAAAATATACACCAACTTTCCAATTCATGCTCTAAAAAACAAATATACAACAATTTATAATTCATACCCATTTAATTCAATATTTGAAAATAAACCAACTCTCTATATATATATATTTATATTTTAAATAAATCAATAAAAACTCAGTAAATTAAAATAACTAACCATCATAAATAATAAAACTTCAAAATAAATTAAACATAACAATAAATTTTTCAAAACAAATTTTTTTTCTTATCAAACATTTTATAAACAAAAGGAATTTGCATTTTGCATAGACATTACAGCACAACCAAAAGGAGTTCAAAGAGTGAACATGCCATATATAGTATATAGTATGAACCTACAAAGAAAAAAAAATTGAAAATCGTTAGTAATAATAGACTCATTTTAAATATGGCTACACTTAAAAAAGTAATCATATATCAATATACTTGATTCACTCGATGGAAAGATCAATCTCCAATTTCTCCTTTGTCTAAAATACACAAAGAAAAAAAAAATTAAGTTAGAATAAATATCAAACCATTAAAATAATTAAATACTTATATAACCTAAAAACATGAATCTCACTTTGCTATTTTTCTTTACTCCGTGGAGATTGCGACACCAATCTCCACCACAAAGTAGCACTTCTACAGTTGTTGAAGACAATGATGATCAAGGGTCAATAACTCTGCCACCAGCACTAAAAGTCGCCTCTGAAGCCACCGTGGTTATAGGAATGACTAGTATATCACGAGCCATCCTAGATAAAATCTTATGCTTCATGTTGTTCGCCTTCCATCACACTAGTGCATCAAATGTGTTTGGACCTGGTTGACAAACATAACATGACTCCTCCAAATAACAATCTAACTATGACTTTTCTGAATGAATATCTTCATCCTCAATAAGATAATGTTCTAAATCAAATTCCCCATAAGTAGGAGCTTCGGTTCCTACATTCATCTGAGTAGACATGCTCATTCCAACATTTTCTTCATTGTTGGAAGAGTGAAATTCCTCCACATATTCCCTGTACAACTCATACAATGCTTCCTGTACTTTGGTGATATTTGCTTGTGCTTCAGACTCGGGATACAGTCTAGGGAAAGAAACTTCAATCACCTTCATTTTATATCTCGGATCCAAGACAGTGGCAATCGACATCAACAAATTACATTCACCCCAATATTTATCAAACTTCTCTTTCATCTTTTTCACCATAACTCGAATGAATTCATTTTCATCTATTGCCTTTTTATCAAGCATTTTTTTTTATCTGGAAAACCTCATTCAAAAATAAATTAGAAGTAGGGTAATCACTCCCAGAGATTAAATTGGTCACCGTACTAAAAACACCTAAAATATCACATACCTTCTGAATTTTCTCCCAATCCTCGTTGTTAGGAGAATAAATAAACCCAGAGTCTTTGTCTTTGAATCTCGGAAACACATTTTTAAATTGTAGTGCAGTTACCATCATCTCATACGTCAAATTCCATCTTGTTTTGCAATCTAAAATCAACTTTCGACTAGGCAACTGTAGCTGTTGCATAATGTGTGAGAAAATTTGGACCTTGCTCTCCGATTGGTTGATGTACCACACACTATCATGGATTTTTTTAACAATATCCTTAATTTCAGAAAGGCTATCTTGAACCAAAAGATTCAAGATATGTGCACAACACCGCACATGGAATAGCTTCCCTCCACAAACCAACCGCCTGGTTACTGAAAAATTCTCTCTCAATGTTCTGATTGCTACATCATTACTAGAAGTGTTATCGACAAAGATAGTGAACACCTTGTTTTCAATACCCCATTCCTTTAAATATTTGTACACCGAATCAGCAATTTGAACACCCGTGTGAGGAGGATCAATATGTACAAAGCTCAATACCCTTTTCTGCAACCTCCAATTACCATCAATAAAATGTCCAGTTATAACCATATATTCTATATTCTGGTTACTTGACTTCCATAAATCCGTCGTCAAGCTTATCTTGTTGACATTCTTCAAAACATTCATTAACTTCTTCTTCTCAATCTCAAACACAGACACACAATCTTTTTTATTTGTTGTGCACGTTATTTTTTCCCACTCAGGCATCCTAGTTTTTTGCATTAGATTGAAACCTTCTTCCTCCACAATGGTAAAATGATGCTCATGCATCATGACCCACTGCGCAGCTCTTTCCCTCATCCTCGCCATATCAAATTTGTCATCCCAAAGAACAGGGGGTTGTGAGTCACCACAACTTGAACTTGGCTGGAAAAATTGTTGTCCACCACTAACTTGCCTTTTGTTAAGCCTTTTCCTGAGACATTCCTCTGAATTTCATTTAAGTTGAGTAGTGGGCCTCGTTTTCGGTAGCACATAGATTATCTTACAATGAATGCATTGTGTCTTTACCTTTCTGCCAGGCAGTTGTAAATCATTCCACACCGCCGATGTCTTTGCCCTTTTCTTCCTTCCAAATCAACCAAGGTAGAGCTAATTGTATTTGAATCCCTTGTGGCTGGGGCTTCGATGGAGCCTTCCATTATTTCACTGGTATTTATATCATGAGAAAAATAATTCACAAATTAAAATGATTTACAACACTTAAGCTGATGATAACACAAGAATTGGAAAATGATTTCGAAATAAAATTTAATACCTTCCAAAAGCAATGGATGTTGAAAATGCACAAGCGAAACACCCTCCTCTTGGCCTTCTCGACTTGATCTAGATGTCACAGTGCTGCGTTGATTTCTTTTGCCTCTGAATCTCCTTTTCGTTTAACAATCCTGTGTTGGAATTTTGATGTGATTATTTTATGTTTGAACATGCAGGTATGACATGACTCCTTTTCAGAAATTAGCCGATAGTTACTTCTGTCCTGGTATTCACTTTATTTTAACTCATAAACTTGGGATTCTAAATTTTCTCTATGGTGAAATAACTCAAATTCTTCCATGTTATATAACATCCTTTTTCACAATGGAAACTAGCAATTTTCTAGAACTTCCGATATTTAATTATCTCCCTAAGCAACTCTTAAACCTTACCATCATCCATTAGGCTTGTTATTGTGTTGAGTAATAAGTATCAGATAGCATAAAATATTTATTCTGCCTCCATTGTTATTTGTTCTTTTGATTGTGAATTGTGTTTATGCAATGCAGTTTGTGGAGCTCTTAAAAGGAGATTTAAGCCATATGCGCCACTAAATAAACAAGTGTGTTTGTAAATTTAAAAAAATATACGCATCAAATTTTAACAAAAAAATATATGGATCTGTTTGTCCCAGAGTAAAATGAGTGAAATTAAACGAATATGGACTTTTCTCAAGAGCCAAACAACGATTCATGAAAACAGAAAAATAACTTACGAGAATCAACTGCAGCTTCTTTGAATCTGAGTTTGCGAATTAAAACAGCAGCTTCTTTGAATATGGACTTTTCTCAAGAGCCTAACTGCTGAGTGTTAACTGTTGAGGCATTGGGGCTGTCGTTGAGCAAGCACAAAACTACAGAAAAAATTAGAGCTGTGAAGACTAAAGTGTGAACTGCGAATCTGTGATGTGAGATTGTGAGTGTCTGAGTGAGGGCTTGACTCTTGAGGCTATCGCAAATCACAATTAGGGAAAAGAAAAAAGTGGAATTGGGGATTTGGACTTTGGGCCGTGTAAGGAAAAATGTGGGTTTGGACTTTGGATTTTTAAAATTTGGGCTGGGAAAATGTGGGTTTCGACTTTGGACTTTGGGATTTTTTAAACATATATATATATATAATATAATAATATATTATATATATATATAATATATATAATATATATATATATATATATAATATATAATGTATAATTGTGTATGTACAAAATTATTATCATACATATATTAATCATAAATTAAATATGTTTAATATGTTATGAAATTACCAAAATTATAGGTTATATATTTATTATCATTTCATAAATTATCATAATATTTTAAATGTTTACATATATATTTTGTATCAACACCCATAAATTCATATTGAAATGGGGTCTATTATAATATATGATTAATACATATGTATGATTAATTGTTATATATAATGTGTATTGTGTATATACAAAATTTTATCATACATATATTAATCATCATAGGTTAAATATGTTAAATATGTTATGAAATTACCAAAATTATAGGTCATCATATTTATTATTATTACATAATTATCATAAATTTTTTAAATTTTTACATATATTTTGTATCAATACCCATAAATTTATAGTGGATGAAATCTATTGTATATATGATCAATACATATGTGTGACTAATTTGTTATATATATATATATATTATTAACTGTCTACATATATATTTTGTATCAACACCTATAAATTCATAGTGGTATGAGGGTTTTGTAATATATGATCAATACAAATAGTGATTAATTTAGGTTAATTAAGTTATTTATATTAAATTTGTTATTCTATACATCACTAATTATACAATATGTTAGTTTATCAATTTACCATACATATTTTATTTTTATTAATTGAATGCTATCTTATATATTTAATTATTGATTACATTTGAAAAAATATGAAGTTTATATGTTATTGGATTAACTATATTATATATCACTTGATTATACAATCTATTATGTTATTAAATTTGTCATGCTATGTACATAATAATTTATTACTTTTTAATAAAATGCTATTACTTATATATTTAATTATTGATGACATTTGGAAAAAAAAATCCAACATATTATTATATTAAGAAAAACAAAAGTACTTAATATTTTATTATTGTACCTTAAAAAAAATTCATCCAAACTAAATCAACATAATATAAAAATGAAAAAAATAATTTTAATTTTAATAATGCATAACATGTTTTTCGAATATAAACGACAACAATCAAATGATTGTTCGCGAACGGATGGATCAATCGAACGTATAATGTTCGCGAACATAATTGAACAATAACCCTTGTTCGAACTTGATCGAACATATTATCGAACGAATTCGAACTATTCGCAAACATTTATCGAACGAACAACGAGTGTTCGCGAACAGTTCGGTTTGTTTGCAGCCCTGCGTGCACTCACATGATGTGCCACGTCACTTTGTACAAACTCTTTTTGTACAAAGAGTTTGTACAAAGCTTTATCCATAAATGACTTGTCAATCAAGGAGAATGTTATATCAGTTTTATGCATTAGTTTGTATTCGAGTTTGTACAGTAACCCCACTCTAAAGATTTTACATGTTTTACTATTAATCAAAATAATTCTTTTTCTGCAAATTTTTTTTAATAAAGGATAAAATATATTAAAAGATAATATTGAGATGTGATAAGATAATGATGGGGGCTTAAGAAAGTGATATAAATTATGAGAGAGTTAATTCAAATTCCAAATCATGATTTATGTATTTTATTATAAGACAGTTGACCTAGATGAATAAGCAACAAAAGAAAAGATGCCTCAATCATAGGTAAGAATAAATTCATTCACTCGAGCTTTTAGTGGGCCATTCATGTTCAACTTTAACTTTCTCTCCCATTTTCATGTTGCTAGAAAACAATGAATCGAGTGTTCAAAATTATAATCATAATTAAAGAAAACTATATATAGGATTAAAGGATGTAGTTTTTATCCTTTATTAATTAATAGGTAATACTATAAGTACAAAGTTTTATATTATTCAATTAAGAGACATCTAATGATTATTTGATGTTAACTTAACAAATAACAAAACATTTAGATTCCCTTGATTTTTTTTTTTTTTAAAGTTAATTTAGTTCTTAAAATTTAAATTCAGAAAATGTTAAAAAAACTAAAACAAGACCAAAAATTTTTTTTTAAGGAAATAAAAAATAACAATTAAAAAAATTAAAGGAAAATATAATAGGTTCTTTATATTTTTTAATATTTGTTGTTTTATATTTTTATTTTGATTATTTATTTTATAAAAAAAAAAAAGAATAATTTAAATCTCTTTTTATTTTTTTTTGTTTTTATGTTATTAATCATTTTGATTTAATTATTTATTTTGTAAAAAAATTCAAATTTCAACTACGTTTTACATTTCCATAAGTTAAATTTAACTATATGTAAGAGTATCTCCAATGTTGTTTTTTATTTTAAAGAGCACGTTTTTTTATAATAAAGAGCATCTTCATTAATTTTTATATAAAGAACAAATTTTTTTATTCAAATCTAAAGACTTTTTAAATTTTAGGAGATAGAATATGTTTTTTTCAAGAAAGAAACTTAATAGGAAATAATAATTAATAAAATGTATAAGAACTTGTAATTTATTATTTAAAATTAAGATAATAGTGAAATTTGACTTCTAGATGGTGGAGATTCAAACTCACTCTTTAATTTATATTTAAAGAATAAAGAGTTATTAGACTCTTGTTTTATGGATAAATATTATATAAAAAGTTTAGTCATTAAAGAGTCATTTGGAGATGCTCTAACTGTATATTGTCTTTTAATTGAAGGATTTGTAATTCTTCCTTCAACTCAAAAGTCTAAAAGTTTGTAATCTAATTGATGATATATTCCCAACTAATATAAACAAATTTTAAAATCATGGTCATCGAAATAAAACTAAAATGTTGTACCTAATTTGAAGACTTTAATAGGAGTGTTTCAATAATTGAAATATCAATTGAATATATATTTATATATATAGTTAGCGTTAAATAGGTAAGTATTGCTTTTGTTTTGAAATAAAGCAGAAAATATAAGTAGATTTTGTGTGTTAGGCGCTTAATTATATGGAAGAGAAATTAAGAAATGCATAAGTATTTTTATTAATGAAGCAGCTGCAAATATTTAATTAATTAATTATTTATCTAAAGTTACATGATAAATAAAGATTTACCTAATTCTCCACAACCTAATCTCTAAAACAACAGCAATCAGAAATAAGATGGTGATAATGACCCCCATAACCAGCATTCCATGACTTCCCTTTTTCACCTAAATGTATCCCATAGAATATATTTGCTATTGCAAATATTATCATAATCCTCCCCACGTTGTGATGGTACCCAATTCCAGTATTTTCTCACCTTAGAAGTCTTGTCCGGCCGAGCCAAAATGCCATTTCTGAAGGCAGCCGAGAACCAGTATGATGATCCAAGAGCTTTGTGGGAAAGCCTCGGCATCAAGCTTATTATTTAAGATTTCCACAAATTACACCGGCTAATCCAAGC